GTATTTATCTTTATTCCAAAACCAAAATATATATAAGTTTGCCACTTTAATGCACACAAACATGAGGCCATTATACATGTTTTTGGTAGCTAAAGATAAAAAAAACATACATATTATGCTCAAACCAGTTAAAAGTATGTAAATTTAAATCTTACCAACCAGTAACATACAAAAGAAAACAAAAAAAAACACATTAATCTTACTGATTGTTATTAGCATTTCATTGTGTTTTTCAAGTATTTCTTTGTTTTGTCTAAACACTTAAAAATTATATGAGCTACTAATATAGACAAACATCATTACACTGCCCTAAAACTTATGGAATTGAAAGGTTTTTAAAGACCTACTTGTTTACAAGGGTTTTCAAACGAGACCCCAATCTCAATCGCTTTCGAATAATTCATTCTTCTTCTTCACGAGAATAAGGAATAGTGATCTATTCGAAAACGCGCAAGATTTCGGTCTCGTTTGAAAACCATGACAACTTTTGTATGTGATCCTGTATGCTAACTTCTAAATCAGAATATACATTTGTACAAATATGGATGACCTCAATGTGAAACATTTTCAAGTTAAAATAGAATGAGTTTTCCACAAAATGCTATGTATTTTGAGTTAAAGGTTTGTTGAATCTATGTACAACTGAACTGAATATAGATGTATAACAATTAAAAGCACCTCTACTCTAATTGTAAAATATTTATGCATATATGCTTAAATTTTTTAATGTTACTATCGTACAGTCTACATAAGGCTTCATACAGCAATTTTAAAATCAATGTTTTAGGTTTGCTATTTGTCCCACAATGAGATGACTGAGAAAACAAACTGTCCCAATGCTAAACTTCAGATTAGCACACCTGGTAATAAATAAGAAATATCTCACTTTTTAACAGATTTATCCAAAAACAATGTGCATGTTCAGTATTCTGTGAATAATAAAACACTAAGTAGCATTAATTCTGAGTTCTCAGTGAGTGATTTGATCTTTGTGATAGAGATGATGTAGTGAAGTGGTTCCTGAAAACACAAGAGGTGAACTGAGTAGTTTGTGCAGTGATTTTGTATAGTTTTGTGAATTGGAAGGTGATTCATTTGAAACTTTGCTTTTATGTAATGTACTAAGTCATCCGAAAAACAGTTCTTTCATTCAAAATCAGCTGACTGAAGCTTCAAAAGACATTAATAATAGTACAAGCGAAGAAGACAGTTACTTTAGCAAAGTGACTCAAAAAAAAATTAACTTTTTCATTCAAAGAAGAGTTATTTACTGATCCTCAATACACAGATCAGACAGAAGAACAAGAGAAAACTGCAAAGTGCCATCATTGATAAAATGTGAGTGCTGGAATGTGAGAACATATAGCATAAGAAAAGTTTGAAGCAAAAACTGCATTGAAGCTATAAAGCTCTCGAATTTCAAAATTTTTCACTTTACAATATTTTCCTGATCATAAAATGTTTGAAAGAAATTGAAGTGGCCTTTGTTTATCACTGTGTTTCACACTACCATTCATAGTTCTTAACAGATTGACATAAAACCCTTGATGAAAGTGCTTGCACATTCTAGAGTAAATAAAATATTCACTTTAGATATATATAAAAGCACAGAAATTACTTGCATATGTATTACACGTTCAGTTGAGATAATTGTGAATGCTTTGAAAAATAACACCCCTTTTTCAACATATACATATATATATTTAGCAAGAATATCAAATACTTATTAATAGTCAGATATTTTACAAAGGAAAAATTCTGCATACACTACTGACAATGCCTTAGTCAAAGATGGGAAGCACCAATCAGTCTTAATTCAACCAAACCTTTGGTAAGCCAACTGTAACCAACTTTTCAATTCACATCACAAAGAATTACTGTAAAACTATAGCTTCTAAGGTTTCTTATTAAATGTTTTCAGTAACCTTCCATCTTTTGCTAAAGAATACTTTTAACCTGTACAGCAAAAACAGTATCCTATTAAAGTACAGTGTAATACAATTGTTATTGTTCTATCTAGCCAGTTGTCAAATGCTCGAGTACTGGAGAGGTGCAGCTGTTTTTCTCAAGGTCAGTAAGAGAATTGTCTACTGATCTGAAAATGCATCTCCTGTAAAGATTATGATTAATTCTGCCTCAATGCAATATTTGCTTTTTTATTTAGTTTCACAAGTATCAAGGTAGAGGCAACAAAATTCCATCCAAGTAAAGTCACACAAACATATGATCTATGAAGTGACAAAGATGAAAACCAACTCTTAAGATCCTTCAGTTTTCTAGCCTTTGTACACATTTCATCAGTTTAACAAAAACATTATTAGCTTAATGTGTTAACAATAAATTTTATTCATTTTTAATGCAAAATATATAAAAGTCACTGCCATTTCAGTGGGCACTAATTATTCAACTAATTTAGCAACAATGTACTATACAGTTATATTGGTATATTGATGATTTAACAATTGTAAGTCTTAAATATTGTAGTAATATAAATGTACAACTTATCCAAATACACTAGTATGAAAAGTATCTACCAAGTATGTAAATACAATACTTAGAGCTTGAAATAATCTTTGATGAATAGTTCCTCTGTAACAATCTTTCAAATGCAAAGAAATATTTTTAAATTAACTAGTATTTCCACATATTCTACAAGTATATGTAAAACTGTAAGCAATGGTGCAGTATCCTCCAAACTGCTTTAATGTTTTAAAATATATATAACTATTCCACTTTTCTTAAACAATGTTAAATACTTTTGTCAAACTGAAAAAAGTGATTTTAATAACTTTTTTAAAACTTTTTAAACAATTTTATCTTATAAAACTCAGTAGTGTTATTCTTAATTCATGTTACATACTGGTAAGCTTAATTAGTGGAAGGTCCTATGTATTTTAGTACAGAAAATGAGCAACTAATTTCAAATAAATTCTTATAAAACACTATATAATACATGGGATAAAAAATACTGTTTATCTTATTTAACATAGGATATAAGCCTAATACCTACCAATAATGTTAGAAAGGCTGAAATTTTTTTCCCCATGGTAACATTAGCTAACCTCACATTAAAGTTCTTTTTTTTATCTTGTCACACAATTTCTAATATCTAAAAAACCTGTATATATATATAATATTTTCAGTCTATATCTTTCATAATGAAACCAGTTAAGTTTATAAACTATGTCATTTTGTCATAGGAGATTTACTTGGCAGTTTTCCTTATAAAAGTCCTATATATATATATAATTTCTAATCACCTAATAAGTTTGTTTATACATTTTTCAGGACTATTTCCTTTGTAACCAACCCAGCTATTTTTAAACTCGTTGTTGTTGTCATAGAGGCTATAGGGCAGCCATTATCCCATAGCCTACTACAATAGGTGACGACAGGTGGTAAGACAAGGGGGCATTATGGACTAGAGGAGTGGTTCCCAACCACCAGTCCAGAAACAAATACTGATCCGTATGGAGATTTCAGCCAGACCACAAGACAGTTGAAAAAAAAAGTGTTTTAAAAATATAGCTACTGAAGTATATTACTATACAATGCAACATAAAAGTACCTTAAAACCACTGGCTTATAGTACCTTTACGGCTACACAACCTTCAGTTAATTATAGGGGAAATTTTGTATTTTAAAGTCTTATTCAAAAATGTTTTATACTAGTGATATAAAACACGTGTTCAAATTCCTCTTAAAGGAACATAAAAGATGTTTGTAGTACCACAAATATTAGAAAAAATTATTTTAACAATTGTATAATGCATGATCACACACACACAAACACACACACACATAAATAACTGATTTAAAAGATTTAATCAAATCAAATCGCTTAAAAACATGTAACAATTTAGAAGTACTCAACATACTGATACTTAGGTACTTCAGCAATCTTAAAAATACTTAAAACTGTAATCAAAGGTGCAGTATTCTCCCAATAGCTTAAAAAATGTTTAGAAATATGTGTAACTATTCCACTTTTCTTTAAAAATGTTAAAGATTTTTGTAACAAAAATGAAGATAATGGTTTTAATAACTTAAAAAAAAAGTTTTTAAACAATTTCTATCTTAAACAACTCTGTAGTACTTGTGATATAAATATTACATTTAATTCACATGACATACTGGATAAACTAAATAAGCCTAATTAGTGAAAGGCCCTGTGTTTTAATAAAGAAAATGAGCAACTATTTTTAATTAATAAATTCTTATAAAAAACTATACAACACGAGAGATAAAAAAATACTGTTTTTTGTTATTTAACATAGAATATAGGCCTAATAAAATACAAATACCACTTACAATTATTTTACATAGTACATAGACCTAATCCCTATTTTTATACTATTTGTTGCTGTTGTTATAGGAGCTATAGAGCAACTTTCGCCCACAACCTACTACAGTTTAGAAGCCTTGACGATTAAGCAAAGTTTAGCATGAAATAATATATAGTTCAAAAACCTGTGAACACTGAATCTTTAAAAAAAAATTCAGGCACTATATTGAGAGAAGGATAATATTTTTTTTAAGCCGTATCCATATTCTTTGATTTTCCATATCTACTATCCTTCATACATGGAAGTTACACATTATTATTATTATTATATATTTATTGATTTATTTAATCTGTGATTCATCCTTCATAGAGACTTAGTGTTTTATTAAGTTAATTTGAATCTTTGTAGAGCTTACTATTTCAATGAATTTTGAAACGTTACCAATGTTAAAAACATCAAATCTTTTGATTTGTCTTAATGATCACATATTTATATATAAAATCATTTGTGAAGTCACCAGGGTACATTTTGTACTTTCAGCTTTTGTAGTTTTACAAAAGTAAGTAGTTCCTTTCAATGATTCAAGTTTTCATTTTTACAGCATTTTATACAAAGTTGACAAAAATATGTATTTAACAATACAAAATGTGACCTTTCCTTCCATCATAAGTCCCACTAAATCTTTCATAATAGCACCAGTGCTCTTAGACATACCTGATAATTGTTTTTTCCTGAGTGGTGCAAAGCAATGGCTGCCTTCCCCCTTTTTACAGACCATTCTGTTGAATAGTAATTATAAAGCATATACTGTTCTGACCTTTGTAATGTCACTGTAGATGTTGATTCACTACAAATTATTCAGTTGTTGCTTTCTTCACCGAGTTCTTTTTTAACTATCCTACACAGTTGGTTTGAAGATCTTCTTCCTTGGTGATTCAGTTAAATTTAGCATGAAATAATCTATAGTTATAAACCTGTGAACAAAATATGTGGACACTAAATTTCTAAACAAAAACTCAGGCAGTAAATTTAGAAAAGTATAATATTTTAGTGGTATCCTTTTTCTTTGGTTTTCCAAATCTATTACACTTGATACATGGAAATTATACATTATTATTTATTATTATTACATTTGTTCAAAATGTTATTTTTTCTGACTTTAAATAGCATGTGGGTAACACTACATTAATAGCTGCTTATATTACATTTTCATGTTAAAGTAGGCAGTAGCATCAGAGCTATTTCAGAACTAATTCATCTTTTTGAAATACTTTAAATTACTAAAAAAAGTCCTATAGGATTTTGATAGTCATTCAATGCTGGTTTCTTTTGTTGAATCAAAGTCTCCTTTAATCTTAGTGCCATTTCATTCTCTGTATTTGCAATGATCTTCAACATGCTTTAAAATATCACCAAATAACAATCAGCTATTGCACATTGAAAAATATATGAACTGTTTATAAACCTCAAATTACTGTGTTATTTTATACATTCCCCTACTGTTCTTATTGTGGAACTGATACAAGTTCCTCCACGCTTTGTTCAACAGAATTCATAAATCACACAAGATGACTGAAGAAGACAAATCTTTCTTTACTAAAGGACTGCAAAATTTTCATTATCATTCCAAACTTTCTAAGTTTTATTAGATATAAAAACAATAAAACTATTCCAAAATTCAATGCAAATTTCTTAAAACTAAAATTTAAAACAAATGCAGATTAGAGAAATAATTAAGTAAAGAATATGTTCAAATCTATAACTTACCAGTAATTGTCAGTTATATGAATTTTGTACATTTTATCTGTTTTATTGAATTTAACCACAATAAGAACTGAAGAAATGCAGACTTAGCCATCTTAAAAAATTAGTCATTAAAATTACAACAGAAAGAATAACATATTTAAAATACATCTACCAAAGTTATAACTAATCTGTTTAGTTATACATTAACAGAGATAAAGAGCATTAAGGAAATTAAGGTTTGCTTTAGCCACAAATAAGATCAAATTCTATAATCATATCACTCCATCTGAACTAGTGTTAAGACAACTTAACAACCATGACATCTATCCTGCCAGTGACGAAACATCTAGTAATGTTAATACCCATATAAGCAGCATTGGTCTTATAGGTCAGCATTAACATAATTTTGAAAGAAAATATTTTAATACCAGCAAGGAGGGGAAAAATGCTTTGGATAACTTCAAATCTAACAAACGAATTGTCATCACCAATATAGAGTACAAAAATGGAACATAGTAGAAATATACATATAAAAAAAAACAAAGATTAGTCTTAAGAAAATGGAACTTTATGAGATTTTAACATGACAAACTTTCCATTAATTTGTCCATAGTAATTTCTTTCACAATTTCACTTTCTATAGAAATTAGTGCTACCCCATATAATTTCTCTTGTTCCATTTCAAAAATGATTTTATGAACTTTAATCTCAAAAATGATCTTTTGCTACTTACCACACTAATTGGCAAAGTAAATAAAATTATTGGAGCAATAAACATATTTGGAAACTTCTTTGATTTTCACATATACATAAAATAAGACCTTATATGGAGGTGAATTTTGTGGTATTTGATGTGATATTAATTTAAGTTCTGCACACAAACATTCACCACAAATATTCCTATTCTCTTTGCCTGTTAGTATTTTTCCTAAATATTTACAACTTATGTGTCCCTAAAATTTTGTGGCGGGTTCTTTGAGACCTTCAAACCAACCTTCAGCCAGCTTTAGTCATCACTAAACCAGATAAAGGCAACAGTGTTGTTATTCAAGACATAAAGGTACTATGCTGAAAAGGTTAAACAGACTGTCAGTGACACTACTATCCTAAGTTCCATAGACTGACCAATGATCCGACAAAGGCAAAAAAATCAAATATTGGTTGGAATTTAAAAAACATCACTGATAACTGGATCTCTAACAATATTAGACCAGTGGGATTTCATGCAAGTCTATCTATACAAATTACCAAAGATTCACAAACCTGGTTGTCCTACTAAACCTATAGTCTAATATCTTCATTACTTTCACTCTTAGAAATGGGTTGTTTCACCTATAATTTAGTCAAATTTATGTTGTTTTTTTTGTTTTTTAATGGAGTTCAATAGTAGTAATCATACAGTAAAAGATTGTTTCAAATTTTAAAAGAAAACTGTTAATATCACATTTGAAGGAGAAGTATCTATAGTTAGTCTAAATAATGAGTCTTTATTCATAAACATACCACTATACGAGACTATTGATTTATGTTTGAAATCAGTATTTGGGCAAAAATCAATTTAAAATGGGTTAAATAGACAAATATTTACAAAATTAATAAACTTCACAACTAATGAATCATTTTTTCTTAATAAATTGAGTTTTATAAACAAACAGACAGAGTTAGCATGGGTTCGTGTTTAGCTCTATGGCCTTGCATTTGTTTTTGCAAGTGAAAAAAATGACTGTCCTTTTCAGTTTAAACCATTTGATTATAACCGTTATGTAAATTACATATTTTCGTTATTTAAAAATGAAGAATAGCTGATGAAGTTTGTTGACTATATGAATGATCAACATGATTACAGAATTTACCTGTGAATGCCAACGGAGTCTATTTTGCCTTTTACAGACACCACTGGGTACAACTAACATGGAAAGTTTGACAATGGAGTATATGATAAACCAACACACATTGGACTCTACTAACACTGCAAACAGCTTTATACCACATGTCATTATAAAGGAAACCTAATCAAATTTGTTGAATACTCTTCTTGCATTATTGGCAATACTACAGAGCTTTTTGAATCAGAACTGAATAATTTTTCAAGAATTTGAGAATGAATTGTTTTCCAAAACATTTGTAAAAATCTAATTTTGAGATAAACGTAAAACAGCTTTCTACTCCTTAACAATTTAATTTTAATGTCTCAAAACTGCCAGTGTTTACAATTCTACCCTATACTGGTGTATGCTCTGGTTCTAAAAAGTTTGCTTAACTCTAACACTCATTAAAAATATGTTTTCAAATAAGAATAACACTTACCTTCCTTAACAATCCTGTATAATTTATTAATTCCATTGCCCAAACTGTGAGAGCCTTAATATCAATTCCACAATAAGACTAGGGGAACATACAAAAAAAAAGTATTCCAAAAACAATTCAAGTATTGTCTAACATGTAAAAGTTAATAGTGCACTAGTTCAAAGCACGATAACTGCAAACGCAGAGAATAAGATACTGCTAAGAATAAATAACTTCTGCTTTGGCACAAGAAACCAGCTTTGAATAATCATCATAATACTATAAAACTTTCATTAGTAATTTATGGTATTTACTTTTTCAGTTTTCACACTTTTATTGTTTTCAACACATTTTTGTTATTAAAATATTTTAGTTATAATAATAATAAAAATTTTGTGAACAAAACTTTAATAATGTACATTTCATAAAAAGAAAGTCAATTGAAATGCAGTGTGTTATATTTTTGAAAACCTTCTATCCAAGGAACAGAATGCTAGGAAAATGAAATTGCCTTCTCCTCCCCATCCCCCAAAAAGTAGAATATAACTTTCAGGATTTAAATCTTATTTAACAATGTTCAAAATCAATACAAATGGCAGGTCATGACTGAATTGCATCATGTTCTCCATCTTCATATATATTCAAGTATTCTATAATTTTAAACATTTAATCATTATGTTTTCACAGCATAGCATGTAGAATACTATGTGCATAAAGTGATAATTAAATTATGGTTTACATTTAATGCTGCCATGAATGAACATTGTTTTATATATACACATTAATTCAATAGTTTCTTACTATGTGTGTGACTCAGGGTTTATGAATTAGTTTGAGGTTCAAAGGTATGCATTTTTAAAGTTTGTGTGTATATGCTAGACTTCTGCAGTGCACAATTTTTGGGAATTTGTGTGATACCCTAGAATTCTACCTCAAGTGTTTTTCTAGCAACAGAACAAACTATAAGAGAAGAAACAGTTACTTGCCCAGTAGAAAAAGTATGATAAATACAACTTGTTATTTATCCTTTAGACAGATTCTGTTGGCCCAGAAATCAGCAATTGTAATTACACACTCTTGGGAATTCTGTTGCCCAAAATTTCAGGACACTTATATTGGTTCTACAATAAAAAGACTAGAAATCTGCTCAGTGTTTTTTTTTTCTTACATGTTTCATTACAATCAACATTTCAACTCTACAAATGAAAACGCATTTCAAATAAATACTCACCTCATCAATACAAAAATGATTAAGACCTAACTACCCTGGACATACCAGATGTATTAAAATAAAATAATAATATTAATACTTTCCATGAATCCAGTTTCATGGATCTTATTTTATATATCATATCCATGTTTCTGAATCCTCCCAAGGTCCTGACTCTCCCTCACAGGAGTTATTTTCTTTAAATGGTGACTGGAATTACCAACATTGTACATGACAATTAGTTCTATTCTGCATCACAAATCCAGAGCTCAGGGCCTCTTGTTTCTGTAATTTCTGCTCAAGCTGCCTTATCTTTGGATGTCTATGACCAGCTTGTCTCACAGCCTGTCATTGGTTCTGGTTCTTCTGTCCTTAACTATGATCAGGTAATATCCACCTTTGTCCTTCTCTGCACTAATACCCCAGGTATTTGACATTTGTTTGTTTGTTTTTTACTCCAGTTGTTTATCCTGATTCTTGAGCAAGCTTTATGCATCCAACTCAACCCATAAAATACCCCTTTCCATCTTACTCTCTTTCTTGATTACATTATTGCTGATTCTGTCACTGCTTCATGCTGACTCTCAAACACCACGTCCTCCACAAACTTGTTAAATACGAAGAAGTGGTTTCACACCTACAGAACATTTACAGTAAATAATATGAACCACTGTGTGTTTTTCTTACTGAACATACTTGCAAGGCTACATAAGATTTACAATGGAATAATATATTTCAGAAAATATAATAAAATAATCTGATGATTTTTTTAAAAAGGAAAAGTAGGGTTGCAAGCTGGTCATATGACCTCAGTTTTGTCAAGAATTTCTACAAATTCCATATATATGTAATGTCAACATCTGGATTTGTATGATTATAAAAACAAGAATTTCAGTAACTTTTTGAATCCTTTTTAAGTATCTATGACAAAATCCTTAACCTTATCTGGGCAGCTCTCTTTTGTCCAGTGGGTAAGTTCCATATCAAATTTCACAATTTAAGCAAAAATAGTAATTTTAACTTTAGTTCAAGAATTATTTTACTCCAAAATACATAATAATTTATATTTTGTAACTTTGCAAAATTAATTTAGTGTAATTTGCAAATAAAAAATACATGAACTTTGACCTCTGTGCAATTTTGACAGGTATTAAACAAATCCCTTACAATTTTTTTTTTTTTTAGAATTTTTCTGCCCATCCAACAGTATAGGTTTATTTTTACTCAGACCTTGGTATCCCTTACAATACTTATCCAAGTACACTAATAACCATTTTCAAGAATACTGTGTGTATATATTACAGCTAGGCAATTTAACTGATTAATCAATATAATCAGACTATGAGCATTATTACAGTGAACAGTGTCACATAAACTAATAGGTTAATCAAAATTAGTATTTTAGATTATTCCAACAATCAATTAATCAAATTAAAATTAAATCAGTTATCACTAGAATAATCAACAAATTGAAATTACGACTTCTGATTATTACTGTTTTCAATTATTCTAACTATCCAAGTAATAAAAATATTGACATTATGTTTGTTTGTTAAGTGCAAATTTACATAACTTGGCCTTGTGATCTGAGGGTCTCAGGTTCAATTTCAATTGCCATTAAACTTACCCACACTTTCTTTGTTATGACAAAGCTACAAAGGCTAACTGCCATTATCACTAATTATGAACTGATAACTAGAGGGAAGGCAATTGGCTGGAAGCACTACCACCAATTCTATAACTATTTAAGTTTGGTTTGAAGTGTAAATTTGCTGTTTTCCCTGCAATGTTATGTTTCTAATTGATAATTGCATTCTTTAATCTTGTATAAGCAGGCACAGATCTTGGTAAGGGAGTTCTAGGGGTCCTGACTATCCCATTCCTTCCACAAATTAATAACTAGTCTCTAAGAATGCATAAACAAGCATGGATGTAGGGGGGGGGGGATCCATAAAGTGAACCTCCTGCCAAGTTTTTTCAGAATTAGGCACAGATATGGAAGGTGGGTCCAAACTAGTTCTATGTTTTCAAAAAATAATAAACAGCCAAATAAATGTTCTTACACTACCATACAATATCAAAAAGAACCATTAAATGTCAGTGTATATATTTGATTGGGCTATCAATTGCTGTAAAAGTTTTTTTATGTTTTCTGAAACCAACATAGCTGAAATCTATAGCAATCTAATTACATCCTCAACCAATAATTGATTACTTCAGAGCTAATACAACAATATAAATGTAAAATAGATCTCAACTACAATTAATCAATATTAAATTAGTGCTTCTGATTATTTCAACAATTTATTATATCAATTGTCACAAAAATAATCAACTAATAAAAATTAGGGTTACCCATTATTTACTGTTTTTAATTATTCGAACTACCCAAGTAATTGAAATATTGCTATTATGTTTGTTTTTTGTGAAGCACAAAGCTACATAATGGGCAGAGGGGATAGGGAATTGCCTCGTGATTTGAGGGTCTCAAGTTCATTTCCCATTGCCATTAAAAACTTGCTGATCTTGTCTTTGTTATTGCAAAGCTGCTAAGGCTATCTGCCACCATAGTAAGAAGTTTAGAACTGCTGACTATAGAGAAGATGAATAGCTGGAAGCACCCCCACCAACTCTCTTTTACTTCAATGTTAAATAAAGTGTAAATTTAGTTGTTTTTAATATTGTGTTATGTTTTCCATTCATAACTGTGTAACTATATTCTTTAATATTGTCTAGGGAAGGGGGTCCAAACCCCCATTCATTTTTTTCCAGAAATGAATAATTCTACTCTAATTATATTGCTAAAAAGGAGTTTCACTCAATCCAGAGATCTTCACAATGGCTGGGATAGAACAAACACAGTAGTGGTAAGAACACTATTTATGTAAGCAAGTTGTTAGAATATGCTTTTTTAAAATAAGTGAAAATGCAAGTGTTATGACTGTACATGTGACAACCTCAAGAAAAAGAAAACAAACATTTGGTTTGTGAATGTTAAAATATGGAAGTAAGAGTAGACTATATTTTTTCTAAATATAATTACAAATATTTAATTTAATTACAAAAATTTGAAATGCTTCAGTTTTTTTCTTATCAACCACATTATTATAAAGATATAAGCTTTGAAATTGCTCAATTATAATCTAACTAAGCTATTCATAATGACTTTTCTAGGCTTTCTTATTATTAGTTTTATTGCAAAGTTTAATAGTAGTGTGTAGGTACTAATAGACTATGAAAAAAGTACATATTAATCAGTAGTACTGGTAGAGATTTAGCTGAACACTTCCATAACATACCCTGTTTTGAGTAACAGTTTCTTAAAGTATGAACCCCTAACAACATTTAATATAATTTGAAATAAGCATGAATAATATGATTGAAATGTTTAACATAAGTACTCCATTTAGCAAGCCTTGATAATTTACATTTTCTATTAACAGCAGTATTTTTCATCAAATCTTATATACATTTTTGTATATGTTTTGAAAAATTATTTTTTGTCAACAGTGAAAGAAAAGAAGTACTCACCTAACTGATGTAGGCCTATAGCCAAATGTAATTTTATTTTCATTTTATTGGTGATGTTTCTAGGGTAATATATCATCAAGTGATATGTTTATTTTCATCAATAAAAATTCATATTTTAGTACAGTAGTCTTATGGAATCTCATACTCCTAAATTATTGTACCTGAACACAGGATTTCCTCTAGCTTTTCACATATTTGCCATAAAAAATAGTCAATTTTATATGTTAATTCTAACTCTATTTAAACAGTTTTAACTGAAATATATTTTTGAATTGTTATTTTGTGACTTTCTGACTTATATTTAGTGTACTTCATAATAAACAAAACTTTATGTTTTCATTTCTCCATAGCTGCAGAATTTTTCTGCCCATCCCAAAAAATAATTATTTTTGGTAAGAACCTACCAACCTTGAGAATATATTATTCATTTCTTGATTTTCAAGCATTTCCCTTAGTTTTTACACAAGCCTCAGTTGAAACCCTGCTACTGTGCCACATCAACTGGTTATCATTTACCAATGAAACACAGTTTTGAAAACAGTTACAAGGAATGTTTAAATGTGATTGGATAGAGAAAAAACTGAACTATCATGTATTCTTAAGTAGATATATTTAGGTTTTTATGGTTTCTGTAAATGTTCCTTTCAGTTACTTTCGTTGCGAGTTCTGAAAGTATTTCTATTTGTATGTTAAATTATATCTTCTAAAAACTACCAAGTTTTCTTCACTGAGCAGTCATCAGATAACCTAAAAGAAGATAAGTCTATACATTTTAGAAGGATTGAGTGAGTAAAAAGAAACATTTCTTACAAGTTTAACACAGTAGCAAATGTACAATGTTTGAAGAGGGTTTTGTCATCATCAAGTAAAATTAGTTTACCCTAGACACAGGAATATGAATACAGTATGAAATAAAGAAGTCACATGACTGGAGATTGCTTAAGGATTAATAAATGTATGTTATTGATATTTCGTTCTTTGTTTAAAATTACAGCATTTTTACTTTTTAATAGATATACAATGGTTTTTTGAGTTGCAATGCTCATAAACACAAGTTTTTTTATGGTGTTCATCAAATACAAACATTATCATACAAGTTTACTGTATAATGATTATGATAGGTGACTGCAAAATATTCTGATGGCTCAGATCTTTATTTCATATAATTCTTATGTTTATCCCATTCAAACAACATAGATGAATAGAATGGCTAACTGGCTACTTAATTATTTCTAATTGGAATCATATGTTTCAAATAAAAACATTATTACCCTTACTGGTGATACTTAAACATTTTTATTATTTAAATCAGTTTTAAATAATTTAAAAAAAGAAGAGTGTGGGATTACTCCATATTTGAAAAACACACATAATGATGACTGCATGGTGGTAACTCAGTCGATATGAGTAATTTATTTGTCAAGTAAGAAATGTCCATAAAGTTTGTGTCAAAATATTTTTTCAGACAAGAGGTTCGTCATTTGAAATCCAGGATAATTTAAAATAACTTTAAAAAAATAACGAAAACAATGGGTATGAAAATAAGCTTAATACTGTGCTAGGATAATATTGATTAAAAAAAACTAAGAAAATAGCATAAACCTCTTTTTCTTTTGTTTGTTGCAATGTAAGAGGCATGTACTAAAAAACTAATCAAATGTAGTTGATTAATGAGCCTGTCAATTAATCAGTTAGCAAATGTCACTAAATGCTTAACTCTAGTAAACACAGCATCAAGTTACCAACACGCTAGGTCAAATTACAGCATGTTGTATTTGCAAGATATGTTCACATTATCAAATATTTCTTAATTTTTCTTTTCTAGCCTATTAAGTTTCCAATTTTTACATTTTAGTTGTGTTTAAACCAATAAATAAAAAAAATATATACATAAAAAGCAAGGAACTTAGTACTTACATCTGAGTCTTGAACTTTTTTTTCTCTAAGTCTTGATCAAGGTTAGCCCTATTTTTTGAAAGAGTGTCATTAGTACTTTTTTTTCTCTTTAAACATACAACTCATAACACAAAATATTGACATGCAAAAAAAAAAATGACGTCCTACAGTTATAATAATTTAAATGGCTTTCTATCTAAGTTATATGTTCATAAAAATATTTTCCTTACCTGGTTGAGGCAATCTCAACAACAGCAAACTATGAAATGAATGCATAATAACTCAAAATTGGTCATGAGAACAAGCTAATCTTGTAAGGAAAGCAAGAAATTGAAATCTTCTCTTTCTAATGGTTATAAATAAACCAATAGCAAATCTTTGAGAGAATTATTAATTTTTTTTAAGATGGTACATATAGGAGAGGTGTGGCACGCAAGTTTCAGTTTATGGCATACAATTCATTAAAACAGAAAGTATAGATGCTACAAGTTTTAATTTTTTCTCAGGGATGTCGATTAATATTGTATAAGTTTTAAGTTTCTTAATTTCAAAAATAAATATTTAAATAAATTTTCAATCTTCACTTTATGTTTCATGTGACACTTTTTGCTCAGAATTGCCTAATTTAGAATTTGTTTCCACTCCTATATTATTTTTTACGTTTTCAAGATAGTTACACAATTTTTTTTATTATAAACTTTGTTTTGAGGTCAAGTTTACTGACAAATATTGAGAATAAAGTTGTTTAATTAAATTTCTAATGTAACTCTGTGCCTGACTATATCTAGAAATTAAAAGAGGATAAATGGAAATAGGAATAATAAGGTTATGAAGCTAGCAAACATCTCATTTCTTGCATGGGGTAGTTTATACTAACTGATTAATAAACATAATTTATCAACTATTCATTCATTAATCAATTAGCAAATACCACTAATCATCTAGCTATAGCAGTGTTGAAAGGCTTATACGATGTCATAGCATGTGGGTTAGACAGTAACTAAATATGTTTGTATGTAAAATATTCTATCTACATCATTATAAAGTAAAAGATGTGTGGGTAAGAAGTAATGTATGATTTGTGAAAAGTGATAGTGGAACTTTCATAATGAAGAACAAAGGATTCTAGCATGAAGTTTATAAAACTTAGGAACAAGCCCCAAGCATGGAAATTTGTTTTATAGTTTATTTTGACTATGTTTTCACTTGTGAAAATGTTTTTCTATTACATTGTGAATATTTTAAAACTAAAAACATATTCTTATACGAAAAGACATAAGGTAAGGATATTTAAGGATAGTGAGCACAGTAACCTAGCAAACATGACAGCATCTATTAACCCTTTCCAGCCCAGAGAGATGTTACTGATATTCCTTGATTGTTTTCGTTCTTACAATGAAAATACTTAGCCAAATTTACTAAACAGTGTCTAGTTTCAGCTTAAAGAAATTCATATAACTGGACTTAGTTTTCTATCATATTTTTGTGTCATGATATTTCCAAAGTTTTCACAATCTTTTTCATTTTTTTATATAACAAATATTTTTTCTCTTTGTTATACACGTGCATCAATTTTATTTATCCTACGCTTTAGTTAGTAATCACAGTGGTTACTACCAATTATCATTAACTGTGTATAGAAACTCATTTTTGAAAATTTAGTGCCAAGTTGGTGGTTCAAGTGAAACTCCACTGTGCCCACCACAGATATTGAAACTCAGTTTCAAGCATTATAAGTCTGCAAACTTACTGTTGTGACACTGGAGGGACAAGAATATAATTATCAATAGTTGTTTCTCCTGTGAATGTCTTACTCTTTCTCCAATTTTATTATTAGAGCCTCTCATTTACAACCTTATATAACCTCACAATATGTCATGAACCTGTCCACCTGTCTTATGGCAAGTATAATTAATTATAATCATACTTGGCCAGCTTGAAAAAGGCATAGATTACATGCCATAGGATATAGCAATTATAAACTACTTACATCAATTTACAGTGAATAAAATAGTGAGAACTGAGTTATGGTTTCAAGGGAAAGTGACAAAACCCAGCTCGTGCAGAGAAGAATAATGGAAGCTAATGGGAATTTTAGAAGATTCAAAAACAAAGCACACATCTTGGAATTTTTGTATAGTTTCTTGACACATTCATTTTGTTCCTGAAAATGTTTGTGTTACATTATATTTGATAGAAACCTATGGAAATTGTCTTAAAAAATCAGGTAATCCTTACTAGGTTTAGATAGTATGATAGACAATGACAAAACATTCAGATGATTTTAATCCTTATTTATTGAACAAACAGGGGTGTGGAATTTGACAAAAACTTCTTGTTCCAGGGAGAAAATAAAAGAAACATCTATTCATTCTTCTTAAAAATCTACTTGTTCCCTTACCATCCCATAAAAATATACACAAATTGAGTATTACTTTTAAGATTTTTCTTTTAAGAAACAATGAACAATAATTGAAAATGCTGTGCTCATAAAGTCTGTGTTAGAGATGTGGAACTTATTATAACTTAGCAAAGTCAAATAGGCCCAAAAATATCTATTTGTAATAATATTTGTAAAATCAGTTTTCACCAAAAGGTCTTCAACAGAAGGCTACACAATCATTTAGTGATTAGCAATTATTTTTGCTTCAAGCAAATAAAGAAAACATTACTCAGTCCAAACATACTTGCCAAACTGAACACATCTAATTTTTGTGCATAACACATTTTTTTTTGTTGTTAAGTGCAAAGTTACACAACAAAGTATCTGTGTTATGCCCAACACAGGTAAAGAAACTCAACATTTAGCATTATAATCCTTAAAACTTACCACTGGAGGTGGGATGAATGCCATATTACAAAACGAATAATTTTACTTTTATTTTGTTCATGGTTAACTTATATTTACATACAATGTCACCATACTTTATGTTTTCATGCAAGTTGATTTTCTTATTGTAGCTATATACAAGTTATGTATCATACTAGTTATTTAGATCACTTACTACAGAAATGAATTTGGCAAAGTTCTGTATATTTCATCTTGATTTTCATTAGCCTTGGTTTTTAATTCTGTTCTTGTTTCCATTTGACTCATGCAGCTAACTTTTCTAAAAGCTCAAGCATATCATACCCTCATCATAACAATAAAACATAAGTTAACATGGAGAAGTTAAACAGTGTTGTTAACACAATGGTACTACATTATCTGAATAGATTTTCTAGTTTTATTCTTTTTCATTCCTTAATGATAAAGTTGCAAACATGTCATCCACAATGAATACGAGAAATTTAGTGCTGTTGGAATACTATTATTATAATACAGTCATCTAATTCTTGAATATGCAGATAAAGAATGTAGTGTTTACAAATGTAATAGGCCTAATACTAATGTTTTATAAGTATAATCATTCTCGCAACTTCCAAAAAATGAAAAATTGATTGTGTAACAAGTCTGTTATAAAAGTGATAGGTTCCCTAAATGATACAAACTTGGACAAAAACAATTCTTCAAGGTTAGATAAATTATTAGTGTATAAAAAAGCCAAGGCAGTAAAATTTACCATTCCAACATTAATTGATGTTCATATTATATTGTATTAACTTAGAAATAATCACTTATTGGTTGAGGATTTTAATTGGATTGCTGTGGACTAGCTGTGTTGATTTCATAAAACTTAAAATATCTTTACGGTAATTAATGGCCCAATCAAATAAACTGACACCTAATGTTTGTCTTGGATGCTACATGATAGAGTGAAGATGACTAGCTCTTTTTTATATTAAATTCTGAAGGAAATAGAGGAGGTTGGATCCTCCTTAGATCCACTCCAATCAAAAATGGTAATAATTGGAACAACTAACTTCAATTAGTTGATTATTTTATTGGTAGTCAATTTAATCATAATTTCAATTAATCAACTGTTTGAATAATTAAAAACAATAATAATCAAAAACATTACTGTCAATTAGTCACTTATTTTCTTGCAAATAAATTTAATCATAATTTTGATTAAATGATTGTTGGAATAATGAGCTAACATTTTCTTATATTGAAAATGTATTTCCAATAGGTAATTACCTCCCTTCATACAAAGCTATCTTGATCTTCTCTCTGCCTCTAAGCACTGCTAAAACATTTTAACACTCGGCACACCATTCTCTATACCCCACAAATTTCGTGCCACATTTGAACATGTATATAGCATGTGACCACCCTCCACCAATAGTATTGTACCACCTATATTGATGTGGCTAGCTCCCTCTGATTTTCCCGCTCAATCCTCACTTTCTCAATTGGCACAGCATAGTTTAGACACGTTTTTTCACATATGACTAATGTTTACGATTGTACTTCATTTACATTTCAATACTTTTTCAACAGTTTTCCTGTGTTTGCATTCAGTTGTTTCAATTTTTTTTATTGCATTTGTTTATTGTTACTGAATTACACAATAACTTAGAATGACTTTGTGATTCAATGTATTGACAACGAGAAGTTCCCGTTATGGTAGACACCACTTCTGGTATGACTACACAGGCATTGGGTTTGACTTTATCTGCTGAAGAGGCTCAGGCCTGAAATTGCGGGGAGCTAGATTCCTATGTTCAACTGTCAATTTCTTCTCATTTTCAACCTTACAATATTTCTGAGGATGAATACAACCAAGGAAAGAAAATTGGATTCACTTTTTCTGGCACCTTCTTATTTTGGTCTGTCACACTTTACACTTCTACAGGATATCTTACCACTTTTTTTTCAGCTGGTTAATCAGGTATATGGTATATTATGTGTTTCCTCTTCCTCCTAATTTGTGGACATCAGCAATTGCATATTTATGCTATTAATGTTACTAGAATACTCTACCATTCATCTTATGTCGTCCTATATCCAGACTGGTCATTCCATCTCCCAACCATTCTGATCCTAATCGGCTTCTTTGTCAGGTTTGCTCCATAAGGTGTTATGTGGCATGTATTGCCTCCTTTCAGGATTCATGTTCCTGACCTTTTATTCCCTGGAACCCTTCTGTTTTCTGTGATCTATCCCCTGTCACACTAACTGGTTG